GTACAAAAGAAGGTTGACCGGTTTGAAAATATAGATGAAATCTGATATACTGTCTAAAATACATTGTCAGATTTAAAAATATTTTTTATAAAAATGAGTCTGATTCTTATGTGAAGTCTAATTTACATATTTTAATAATATATACATTAAATCCATATTAATCGCCAAATCCATATTAATATGAAATATAACTACAAGGGAATACTTCAGCCCGTTGAGCCTCAGCACCATAACTGGATCTCACTGAGCAAAATGTATACTTCTACAGCAGGTATAATTAGGAAAAAAAAGCAAAATTTGCTAAAGAGCAAAAGAAAATAAGAAAATTCCAGCGTCCACTGAATTTCGCTTTTTTTTTGAACAATTAGTGATAAAAAATTAAATAATTTGAAAGAAGACAACGCTCTGCAGTGCTTAAGTTGCGGGTTTTAGAAAAATTTTGTCCGCTTTGATGTCAAATTCATCACTGCTTGTCCGCAACCTACACCTCCTCTTACCACTTCTCCTTCCCCAACCGTCAAAAGAGGACCGGTTTTATCTGTCAGAGCAGGTACAATTGATTGCTTCAAAGTTTTCTCTTTTAAACATTTATTATTTCCGGTGGAACCTTTAATTTCAATGAAAAGGAATAAAGCATACTCAGGCAAAATCGGACTAAATGTGAAAGGGGGCGCGGAGGGAAGGGGAATGGAGGGTGGGTGAGATAGGGGAATCTTTCTTCATTTCTTGTCTTATTTAAGTGGGCGCTTTTAGGATGAGGCTTAGGAAAAGTGAGAAGAGGGCCCCTAAGGAGGAAGGAATGAAGGAATTAAGGTTAAATTTTAATTCGATGTTTAGCGCCTCCGGACTGATTTTACCTCCCTTCGAGATAGATTTTGCATCTTCGTGGCTGAATTTAGCCTCTCGTGGCCAACGAATCTGCAGGAATTCAACTCAAGCAACTCAGACTAGTTTTTAATGTGCTGAAAAGGAAGAACTTTTGCCCTCACCAACTTTTAGCCCAAAATTACAACAAGTATCTAATCCCCTCAAATAAATGGCTTTAACAATTCCGTCAGTTATTCACTGTGTATGCCATTCAAATACAGTTACTCTGTTACTCCTATTTCAATTTCTGCCGGCTTTTCGCGGGAATTCTGTGGCAACAGTACTGGAGCAGTTTTACTATGCCACTTCCTCCTCACGTTGCAGCGAGCATTTCACGATTTAACTTTGTTCAGCTGCTATACAAACCATTTTTTTACCTGCATTTATCACTATATAAGCGTACCATCTTCTACTGTCCAGGTACCAAGCACCAATATTTGCCTTGTGCTCGCTACCGAAATGCAAGTCTGTCTTGCTTACAGCTAAGGGATGAAATACAGACAGCTTTCTAAGTGTTGGGGCACCTTCTGAAATATACTTTTATCATTCCTGATTTCAATTAGCAAAAAAGCCAAAAATACAGTTTCCCTCGATACTCCCTTCCCCCTCTCCTATTCCTTTTTCCTTTATTAGTACACTCGGACTTAAATTAGTGACCTCTACAGGAACTCATTTTACGACTGTTTCGAAGAAGTCGCGAAAAGCCGGCCAAGAAGACGCCACAAAAAGGATAAATTGTCTACCGGAAAGCAGATAAAAAAGATTTCTGTTGGTTCAAAGGCAGATACACAGTAGATGTGCCCCTACGCTGATCCTCGCGCATAATTGCGGGTGGCAAAATGGTTTAGCACGTCGCAACCGGATGTGAAGACGAGTGGTTCGATCCATACCTCTTTACAAAAGAGGGCTCCGTTCACGATAACTCGATTGCCTTTTTTCTTGAATTTTCAACACCCGCGTCTTTCCCAGATGCGCTGATACAACAAAAACAGAAGCAAACATTTATCATAAACAACAGATACTGCTAACTGGGTAATATCGAAATTAAAAAGTCCATATTCCATTCTCCCATAAAGAGGTAAAGATAGAAAAAAATCAAAAATTTGCCATCAGCTACTAAAGCATTTGATCAGTAAAAAAGCATAACGGTTATTCAAGTCAAGCCATGGAATGACGCATAGTAAGTGTCAGCAAGTTGCACCATAACTTTTCTAAAGGATGCTTGAGAAATAAGCTGAAGGCACTTCAGATACTCCGTTATTTGGAGGGAAAAAAAAAAGACTATTAAAAGCAATAACAAATATTGTTATTTTACAGAGACTAAAATCAGGCTGAAGAAAGGTGAGTGAATTCATGTTGCAAATACTACTAGTTGATCAACGACGTGTTGCACGCAGTGCATGGCCACCGCCTTCGAACGG